GAAGAAGAAGAAGAAGAAGGAGAAGGAGAAGAAGAAGAAGAAGAAGAAGAAGAAGAAGAAGAAGAAGAAGAAGAAGAAGAAGAAGAAGAAGAAGAAGGAAGAAGAAGAAGAAGAAGAAGAGGAGGAGGAGGAAGAAGGAAGAATGAGGAGGAGGAGGAGGAGGAGAAGGAGGAGGAAGAGGAGGGGGAGGGGGAGGAGGAGGAGGGGGAGGAGGGGGAGGAGAAGAAGAAGAAGGGGGAGGACAGGAAGAAGAGGAGGAAGGCGGCTGGGTGCTGTGGCTCACACCTGTAATCCTAGCACTTTGGGAGGCTGAGGCAGGTGGATCACGAGGTCAGGAGTTTGAGACCAGACTGACCAACATGGTGAAACCCCATCTCTATTAAAAACACAAAAATTACCTGGACGTGGTGGTGGGCGCCTGTATCCCAGGTACTCGGGAGGCTGAGGCAGGAGAATCGCTTGAACCCAGGAGGCGGAGGTTGCAGTGAGCTGAGATCACACCACTGTGCTCCAGCCTGGGTGACAGAGTGAGATGATTCAGTCTAAAACAAAAAGAAAAAAGAAAGAATTTGGAGAGAGAAGCAACCGGGTTGGCAGGTGGACTGGATGTAGGGATGAGTGGAAGCGCGCGGGAAGCGAGGACGGCCCCTGAGCTCCTCCTTTAGAACCTGGTGGTTGCTGGTGCCATTTGCTGAGGGGGAAGATGAGAAGAAGCCGGCTTGGGAGGAAAGACCACGAGTCCTGTGGGTTTCCTATCGACACTGTAACAAGCGACCACAAATGGAGTAATGGCTTACAGCAACACAAGTTTATTATCTTTTTTTTCCCACTCTGTCACACAGGCTAGAGTGCAATGGTGTAATCCTGGCTCACGGAAACCTCTACCTCCTGGCTTTAAGCAATTCTCCTGTCTCAGCCTCCCAAGTAGCTGGGACTACAGGCGTGCACCACCTTGCCCAGCTAATTTTTGTATTTTTAGTAGAGATGGGTTTTCGCCCTTTTGGCCAGGCTGGTCTTGAACTCCTGACCTCAGGTGATCCGCCCGCCTCGACCTCCTGAAGTGCTGGGATTACAGGTGTGAGCCACCGCGTCCGGCTGCAACTTTATCATCTTGTAGTTTTGGAGGCCAGAAGTCTGAAAAGCTGTCAGCAGGGCTGGGTCCCTTCTAGAAGCCCTGGGGGAGAATCCGTTTTCTTGCCTGTTTCGGCTTCTAGAAGCTGCCTACACTCCTTGGCTCACAGCCTCCTCCTCCGCCTTCAGCCTGCAGCACAGCAAGCTTTGCATCTTTCTCCAACTCTGATTCTCCTGACTCCCTCGTAAAAGGGCCCTTGTGATTGCAGGGGCCTGCCCAGATCGTCCCGGATAACCCCCACCTTGTGATCCTTAATTTATTTAATCACATCTACATCTATCCCTTTTGCCATAAATGCAACATAGTCACAGGTTCTGGGGAATTGGGCGAGGACATCTTTGGGAGACCATTATTTTGCTTGTTGTAGAAGATGGCTGGGTGGGAATTTCAGTATTTACAGGTGTATTGAAGCCATACAAGGGATCACTAGGAGAATGTGCCGGCAAGGAAGACAATGACCCGCCCCAGGGTTCTGGTGGCAGATAGAGGTTCTGCCTCACTTCTGAGGAGTGAGGAGTGAGTAGGGGAAATCTAGAAGACAGTGTTTCAAGGAGCCAGGCACAATGGCTCGGGATGATGCCTGCCATCCCAGCACTTCTGGAGGCCGAGGCGGGCAGATCACCTGAGGTCGGGGGTTCAAGACCACCCTGACCAACATGGAGAACCCCATCTCTACTAAAAATATAAAAAATTGGCTGGGCATGGTGGTGCAATGCATGTAATCCTGGCCACTCAGGAGGCTGAGGCAGGAGAGTCGCTTGAACCCAGAGGTGGAGGTTGCAGTGAGCCAAGATTGCACCACTGCACTCCAGCCTGGGCAACAAGAGTGAAACTCCATCTCTAAATAAATAAATAGAAAAAAGAAAGGGTTACAGGGAGACGGTTGCTTATGTCCAGGCCTTCTGAGAGGTTGAGGAAGGTGAGGACAGTGAGGGGACCGCTGGATGTGGCATTGTGGGGACCAAGTGGAGGAGGCTGGGAGTCCCGGTCGGGTGGCTGAGTTGGGGTGGGTGGAAGCACACACAGGCGTAGACCTCGTTATTACCTGGTAAGCCACCCCGACGTGTGGACAGACTTCATAACTGGGTAACATGTCGTGATGGGAACTGAGGAAGTGAAGACAGTATCTCATGTCTGCCCCCATCCTGTGCTCTTCAGTCTGTCCCAACCCACGGTAGCCACATCATGACCTTTGAAAGCACAACTAATTATGAGCTTCCTGCCACCATCCCCCCATTTTTTTTTTTGAGACAGAGTTTGCTTGTTGCCCGGGCTGGAGTGCAGTGGCGCGATCTCAGGTCACCACAACCTCCGTCTCCCGGGTTCAAGTGAGTCTCCTGCCTCAGCCTCCTGAGTAGCTGGGATTACAGGCATGCACCACCATACCCGGCTAATTTCGTATTTTTTTATAGTAGAGACATGGCTTCTCCATGTCGGTCAGGCTGCTCTCGGACTCCTGACCTCAGGTGATCCACCCACCTCGGCCTCCCAGAGTGCTGGGATTACAGACGTGCACCACCGCGTCTGGCCTCACTCCCCCTTTATAAAGTCCTCCATGGTTCCCTACTGCCATCCACAGAAATACCTTGAAGTCGGTTCACTGTTACCACCCGTGTCGGGTCCCATTCCCCCGTCCCCTGTTACAGTCCCAGGAGCTCACTCTCTGCCTCCTGACAGCTCAGTGCTGCCTGGGGAACGTGGATGGCGAGAATGTTTAGGCTGTCACTGGACTCTGCCGTCTCCCTGGTCTGGGGCTGGTTGGGGGCAAGAAGTTTGTAGTCAGGAGTCCTATCTCCCGAGGCTGCCTTAGTCAGGCTGAGACAGCCACCCCCAAACCTCCAGTTCTTTTCTTTTTCTTTGAGGCAAAGTCTCACTCTGTTGCCCAGGCTGGAGTGCAGTGGCATGATCTCGGCTCACTGGAACCTCCACCTCCCAGGTTGAAGCAATTTTCTGTCTCAGCCTCCCAAGTAGCTGGGACTACAGGTGTCTGCCACGACACCCGGCTAATTTTTGCATTTTTAGTAGAGACGGAGTTTCACCATGTTGGTCAGGCTGGTCTTGAACTCCTGACCACAGGAGATCCGCCTGCCTTGGCCTCCCAAAGTGTTGGGATTACAGGCGTGAGCCACGGCACCCAGCCTCCAACCCTCCGGTTCTGACTGACTCACAGGATAGAGGCACCAGCGTGCTCCTCCCAGGAACCAAGGCCAGTCAGGGCAGGTCCCCTGGGTGGACCCCCAGGAAGCCAGCACTGCCCCCAACGGAGCCAACCTGGCTGCTGGTGGTTCTGGTCTCCCATCCCTGTCCCCACAAGAGAGCAGAGTTTTTATTAACCATCAGTTTCACCCCTTCTTTGTCAGGGTGGGTGGGGGGTTGCATTTAACCATTTCCTGCCTGGAGCCGTGCAGAGATAGAGGTTGAGATGTCTTCCCCATAACGCAGAGTCTGGGCTAGGAATCTTCCGGCCAGACAGGAGCCTGTGAGCCACACAGCTGGAAGGGGAAGTGACTGGGCTGGCCGGGAGAAGAAATGTCAGCCAGCCAGCTCAGCTTTGCCATCTCCCTCCCACTCAGGCTCCTGGTCACCAGCCCCAGAACAAAGACGACACCAGAGCCCCTCCATCGATGTGTCCTTGCCCAGGATAAAATCCTTTGCCATCCTGTAGGTAAGTCAGCCCCAACTCCAGGGAATGCTCCCCAGGATCCCTTTCTAGCAATCCAACTCATCTAAACCCAACAGTTCCCACCCAGCCCTGCCTGACCCAGCCCATCCACCCCTGGACTCCAGCACTGCCCACAGCAAGACCTCTGTCCCAATGCCCAGCCTCACCTCAGCCCAATCTTTATCCCTGGCCCCCTTTCGTGATGCAATCCTAGCCACAGAAATCATACTAAGATGTATTGCGTGCCCACCGTGTGCCTGGCCGTCTATGAGTCATTCACTTTTCATTCTCAAAACCACACCATTTACAAGAGAGGAAGCTATAGTTCAGATGATTTAAGTCTTTTGGTGGCCAGTATGACAAAGGTCACACTTTCACTGTCGGTAGCTGATTCCACACTCTAGCCCATCCTGGTGCAACTCATCACACCTCAGTGGAATTCACCCCTACCTGTTCAGTCTAACTGCGCCATCCTAGGAACCAGCATGGGGCCTGGCATATATTAGGTACTCAGTAAATGGCATTTGAATGAATGAATGAATGAATGAACCTGATTCATTCATTAACTAAACTCTATGCATCCTATCCAATCAAACTCAAGTCACAGATTACTGACAACCTCTATTTATAATATGTATATTATAAATAGAATCCTTGTCTGAGGCCGGGCACTGTGGCTCACGCCTGTAATCCCAGCACTTTGGGAGCCTGAGATGGGAGGATCACCTGAGGTCAGGAGTTCAAGACCAGGGGGCCGTGGCTCACTCCTGTAATCCCAGCACTTTGGGAGGCCAAGTTGGGTGGATCACCTGAGGTCAGGAGTTCGAGACCAGCCTGGCCAATATGGCAAAACCCCGTATCTACTAAAAGTACAAAAATTACAGATGCTTCCTTTTTTCAGTAGCACTAGACCTAGAAAACAAACAAAAAAATAAATAAATAAAAAAGGAGTTCAAGACCAGCCTGGCCAACATGGTGAAACCCCGTCTCTACTAAAAATACAAAAACCAGTGGGGCATGGTGGTGGGTGCCTATAATCCCTGCTACTTGGGAGGCTGCGGCAAGAAGATCGCTTGAACCTGAGGAAGCGGAGGTTGTAGTGAGCAGAGATTGCGCCACTGCACTCCAGCCTGGGTGACAGAGCGAAACTCCATCTCAAAAAAAAAAAAAAATTAGCCAGGCATGGTGGTGCGCGCCTGTAATCCCAGCTACTTGGGAGGCTGAGGCAGAAGAATCGCTTGAACCCGGTGAGCTGAGATTGTGCCACTACACTCCAGCCTGGGCAACAGAGCAAGACTCAGATGAACAGATTCAATCTCAGTCCAGCAGGGTTGACTGAGTGATTCCATGACTCAAAAATAAGACAGTGTCCTGAGGCTGACAGTGGGAGGAAGAGAAAGAAGCTGCCATTTCGGCCCCTGAGGCTGTGGGCAGTAAGATTCATTCCCCAGGATGGGTCTTTGAGGCTGGCGGTTTCCCCGGGTCACACAGCGAGTCCCGCGGCATCGCGTACATTCCTTGGCACTCACCCGCCCACCAGGTGCTGCTTCTCCATGTACCTGCCCCTCCAAGCCCCCTGGGGAAAGCCCCGGGCATCAGCCACTGCTGGACACCCGCCAGCATGTTCACAGGCTGGGCACACAGCAGACGCCATGGGCCTGTGTTGAATGGTCAGTTGGTGAACCCCACGGATGGGCATTCAGCCCTGGACGTGTCCAGGCCTGACCTGGAAGGCCCCCGTTCTAGCTTTCTAGAGGCTTCTCTGAGTGCCAACAGGTCCTCATGGGGCCCTCACCAAGGTGGGCCTGTGCCTCTGACCTTGGCTTTGGGTCTTTGCCTCCCAGAGTCCCCAGGCCCTTACCTGGGTTTCACTTTTTCAGGGCATGTCCCCATCCCCAAGGGGAAGCACCGGGGAGTGACAGTTGCCCGGAGCCACCATGGTGTTCTGGTGAGTGCATGGGGGGCGGGGAGGAGGGAGGCCCCCGGCAGGCGGGTGCTCACCCTTGCAGCTGACCCTGGTGCTGATGCTGTTCCCACTGGCATGCTGCTCCCAAGGCTGAGTCTGGCTGTCTCCCTGGTGCCAACCCCAGGGCTGACTGTGGCTCTGACCACCTGTGCTGATGCCAGGGCTGACCTAGGTACTCCCTGTCACCCAGCACACTCATGCAGGGCTGGGCCTCAGCCTTGACCCCAGCACTGACTCCGACACCTGGTGGCAGGGGGCGGCCGTTCCTGTGCCTCTGCCTGGTTGAGTCACTGAGTTCTGGAATGGGGGTGAGAATGTGTCTGTGGCTCGGGAACACGGGGTGACCTGGTCTTTCCTCACCCTCTCTTCCCTCCCCTAGATATGCATTCAAGAGCTGGCCCGGCAGCCCCACAGCCTCAGCTCAGAGCTCACAGGCACCTGCAGCCTCCTGGCCCCTGACCTCCGTCCGCAGGCTCAGGCCAACTTCTTCAACCTTGGTAAGGACTGGACATTCACTGGCCTTGGATAGCTCTAAGGACATCTCCGAAAGGCCCGGCGCTTTGGCTCATGCCTGTAATCCCAGCATTCTGGGAGGCTGAGGTGGGAGGACCATAAGGTCAGGAGTTTGAGGCTAGCCTGGCCAACATAGTGAAACCCCGTCTCTACTAAAAATACAAAACGTTAGCCAGGCGTGGTGGCAGGTGCCTGTAATCCCAGCTACTCGGGAGGCTGAGGCAGGAGGTGGAGTTTGCCGCCGTGAGCCAAGATCACACCACTGCACTACAGCCTGGGCAACAGTGTGAGATTCTGTCTCAAAAACAGACAAACAAGAGACCTCCTTGGTCTTTGAGAAAAGGCACCAGCTCATGGCAGATGCAGTGGGTCACTTCACCACCCCACAGCGGAGCCAGGCAGGGTTGAGGCGCCGCATGACAGGAATCAGGACAGAACTACGTGTGAGCGTGCTCAGCTGAAGGCGGAGCCTTTCTGACTCTGAGCTCTTCCATGTATGTTTTTAAAGAAAGCCTCCTGGATCCAGATGTGCATGTGGACACTGGAGACTGCTACAGAAACAAAGACGGCAGCAGGGGAGAGGACACGGATACAGCCAGGTGGCGCCGGGCGCTGGAGAGGGCGGAGGAGCAGGAGGAGGAGGAGGAGGAAGAAGAGGAGGAGGAAGCTGGTGAGAAGCGGCAGAGCTGGGTTGCTCCCAGTCTATCAGAGCCAACCCCTAAGCTGGCAGCCTACAAGGGTGGGGGCGCCTCAGTCTGAGAGATGGGGAGCGGTGGCTGGATTTTGCAGGTCTGACCAGTACCAGCTCCACCCTCTATCTTACAAATGGGGAAACTGAGGCTCGGAGCGTGGTGGTGATGTCAATGACCCACACAGCAAGCAAAGCCTGAGCAGGTTCTAACTCTCCTTTTGAAGCGGGAGACAAGAGCTCTCTTGGGGCCAGGCGAGGTGGCTCACACCTGTTATCCCAGCACTCTGGGAGGCCGAAGTGGGTCGATCACTTGAAGTCAGGAGTTCAAGACTAGCCTGGTCAACATGGTGAAACTCCAGCTCTACTAAAAAATTCAAAAATTAGCTGGGCATCGTGGTGTGCACCGGTAGTCCCAGCTACTTGGGAAGCTGAGGCAGGAGAAGGATTGCTTGAACCTCCACCAGGAGGTGGAGGCTGCAGTGAGCCACACTGCAAGCAAAAGAGAGAAGCTCTGTCTCAAAAAAAAAAAAAAAAAAAAAAGCTTCTCTCTTGGGAGCTTCTCTAACTTCTTCCCTGAACTGAGCCCTCAGGGTTACCGTGGGGGGGGGTGTGCCCTACACATACTGCCCTCATATGTGCCTCACATCCCATGCCCAATCCTGACCTGCCTGTCTTGGCCAGGCACCGAGATTGCCATCATCCTGGATGGCTCAGGAAGCATTGATCCCCCGGACTTCCAGAGAGCCAAAGACTTCATCTCCAACATGATGAGGAACTTCTACGAAAAGTGTTTTGAGGTGGGCTTCCTAAGAGCTGGTCTCACATAGGTTATCACTTTTCCATTGACAAGTATCCCCTACCTCAGAACAGCAATCACTGTATTTGCTCACAATTGTATGAGTCAGGCACTTGGGCTGGGCTCAGCTGGGTGGTTCTTCTGTCCATCTTTTCTGGAGTTACCCTGGAGCTGCAGGCATCTGGTTGCTTGACTGGGGCTGGATGGCCTAAGATGACCTCATTCACTTGTCTAGACCACATGTCTTGAGCAAGCCAGCCCAACTTTTTCATGGCAGCAACATTCTAACAGAGCAAGATCCAATGCATGCAAGTATTTTTCATTTCTCTAATTGCATCACATTTGCTGATGTCTCATTGGCCAAGGCCAGTCACATGGCCAATCCCATAGTCAGCATGGAGGGGCCTATGGAGGGAACTAGGCAGAAGTCTGTGATTCACTGGGGGCCATTACTCTCACGCCCTTCTCCACCCCCACTCATTTAGAGATGTTGCTCTGCCCAGGAATAAGCTAGAAGGAGTGGATTTTGTGCTGCTTCCAGAGAGAGCCATCTCAGGGGCAGGGCTGGCAACTCTTCCAACCTCCTGCCCTCCTCCCCACCCCCTGCAGTGCAACTTTGCCCTGGTGCAGTATGGGACAGTGATCCAGACTGAGTTTGACCTTCGAGACAGCCAGGATGTCATGGCCACCCTCTCCAGAGTCCAGAACATCACTCAAGTGGGGAATGTCACCAAGACTGCCTCAGCCATGCAACATGTCTTGTGAGTGTGGGGGCAGCAGGAATTATTCTGGCCATGCCCGGAGTCTCTGTGGCATCCTGCTTGGGGGAAGTGGCTGGACAGAACTGGAGGAGACGGGAATTAAGGTTCCATCCTTTCCCTGGCTGAAAGAGAACATGAGGGATGACACTTTTTGAAGGAGTCTTCCAAAGACTTCCTCTTGTGAGAGGCAGGAGAGCAGAGTGCTCAGTGGACAGGCTGGCTGGGTTCAACTCTCAGCTCTGGTTTGTATCTGTGTGACCATGAGCAGACTGAGGGACTTCATGACCACCCTGTGCTTCAGTTTCCTCACTTCAAAAATGAGAAAAATAGGCTGAGCACGGTAGCTCACACCTGTAATCCCAGCACTTTGGGAGGCTGATGTGGGTAGATCACTTGAGGTTAGGAGTTCCAGGCCAGCCTGGCCAACATGGTGAAACCCCATCTCTACTAAAATACAGAATTAGCTGGGCATGGTGGCACTCACCTGTAGTCGAGGCTACTCGGGAGGCTAAGGCAGGAAGATTGCTTGAGCCCAGGAGTTCAAGGCTGCAGTGAGCCATGATCACACCACTGCACTTCAGCCTGGGTGACAGAGTGAGACGCTGTCTCTAAAAAAGAAAGGAAATTAATAGTACTTGTCTGATAGATTTTGCGAAGGATGGATGGGTTAAAATATACTGTGTTTACAACAGTGCCTGCATGTGATAAGTGCCTCTTGAGTATTATTCATCATTTTAATATCATCACTATTCCTGTACACACAAAAAAGCAATAGACTGCCGTCCAGCACCTTCTGCTGGGAGCAGGCGGGAAGCAAGAACACCTGTGCTGCAGCCCTGCCTCCTTAAGTGGCATCACCCCCTTCTGTGGGTCTTTTTCTTTCTTTCTTTTTTTTTTTTTTTGAGATGAAGTCTCACTCTGTTGCCAGAGTGGAATAGAGTAGTGTGATCTCAGCACCCTGCAACTTCCGCCTCCCGGGTTCAAGCGATTCTTCTGCCTCAGCCTCCCGAGTAGCTGGGATGACAGGCATGTGCCACCACGCCCAAATAATTTTCGTATTTTTAGTAGAGACGGGGTTTCACCATGTCGGCCAGGCTGGTCTGGAACTCCCGACCTCATGATCTGCCCACCTCAGCCTCCCAAAGTGCTGAGATTATAGGTGTGAGAGGTGTGAGCCACCACACCCGGCCCTCTTTGGGTCTATTGGGAGGGTTGTGAACCTCCCCCTTCTAACACGGCGGAGAGAATCAACTCTCTCCTGGAGTCAGCCCTCCTGCGGGCGAAGCTCTCTCCTTCACTCTCCTGCTTAGAGACAGCATCTTCACGGCAAGCCGCGGCTCCAGGAGAAAGGCATCCAAGGTCATGGTGGTGCTCACCGATGGCGGCATATTCGAGGACCCCCTCAACCTTGAGACAGTCATCAGCTCTCCCAAGATGCAGGGTGTTGAGCGCTTCGCCATTGGGGTAAGAGCCAGGAGCCGGGAGGCACCTCCTGCACAGCCTGGGGTGGGGAGGAGCCAGGGTGGTCATCGGGCCTTTTCTGTGAGCAGCTTATCCAGACCCTGTTCATTTGCAAACGCTCCTCTTCTCCCCATGCCCTGAGAGGGCTCCTTTCCCCATGGTCGCCACAGCTTAGGGGCCAAATAGCGATGGGGGAATCCAGAGGAAGCACACCGAGGCAGGCTCCTGGAGGCCACGGTGCCGAGCTGCGCCCCGCCAGACAAACCGGAGGGGCTGGCCCAGGGCACAGGACAGGAGGGGCCTACAGGCAGAGGGCACAGCCTGTGCAGAGATGAGGAGGAGCTCTGTGTTCAGGGGCACGGGTGTAGTTTGGTCAAACTGGAATTTCGCCCAGAGTGTGTGTAGAACAGGGAGCGGGGAAAGGAGGGGAGAGGAAAGCAGGGGAGAGGAAAGGAGGGGAGAGGAAAGGAGGGGAGAGGAAAGGAGGGGAGAGGAAAGGAGGGGAGTGGAAAGGAGGGGAGAGGAAAGGAGGGGAGAGGAAAGGAGGGGAGAGGAAAGCAGGGGAGAGGAAAGCAGGGGAGAGGAAAGCAGGGGAGAGGAAAGGAGGGGAGAGGAAAGGAGGGGAGAGGAAAGCAGGGGAGAGGAAAGGAGGGGAGAGGAAAGGAGGGGAGAGAAAAGGAGGGGAGAGGAAAGGAGGGGAGAGGAAAGCAGGGGAAACGAGGGGAAAGGAAGGGAAAGGAAGGAAGGAGCTGGCAGCAGAGGGGCTCGGCCCTCCCCGTGCCTGGCGGATCCTTGCTGCCCCGACTCACTGACCTGGGGCCTCTGTGCAGGTGGGGAAGGAATTTAAGTCTGAGAGGCCGCTGAGGGAGCTGAACCTGATCGCCTCAGACCCGGACGAGACCCACGCTTTCAAGGTGACCGACTACAAGGCGCTGGACGGGCTGCTGAGCAAACTGCGCCACGACATCGTCCGCATGGAGGGTGAGGACTGCGGGCGGCACTGCGGGAGGCCCGAGCCTGCGCTCCAGCCGCGCCCCTCCCACCCTCCGTGGGGTCTCCTGCAGTGGTTACCAGCGCGCGCTGAGCGTCGGCCGCTGAGGGTCTTAAAAGGCAATGGCCAGGCGCAGTGACGCACGCCTGTCATCGCAGCACCTTGGGAGGCAGAGGCAGGTGGATCTATTGAGGCCAGGCGTTCCAGACCAGACTGGCCAACCTGGTGAAATCCTGCCTCTACTGAACACACACACACACACACACACACACACACACACACACACTGGCTGGGCGTGGTGCCGCAGGCCTGTGATCCCAGCTACTCAGGAGCCTGAGGCAGAAGAATCGCTTGAACCCAGGAGGAGGAGGTTGCATTGAGACAAGATTGCGCCACCACACTCCAGCCTGGGTGGCAGAGCAAGGCTCTGTCTCAAAAAAAAAAAAAAAAAAAA